CAAAAGCTTACAACGATTCATTATTACATCCCCTAAAAGCACAGCATAATTAGATTGAGAACACAGGATGCTACTGTACATACCTTGTGTTCTTTTGAAAAATGCAAAGGGAGTTATAAAAGTGAAAGGCAAATGAACACTTACATCCAAGAGACAGGGCCAAACACAAACAGCTCATTAGAGGGTCATTAGAGGTCATTAGAGACAGAAAATGTGACACAAGTACAAAAAACACTGAATACAGTAAAAGATGTAGGGAGCCTGTGTCACAGGGAATAGACTAACCACAGAAACTTCCCTTTTGTAATGTTAAATTGTATGAAGACACTGGGAGGAAGGACTTTCGAGGAGGAACGAGCAGTTATAAAACCTGAATTAGCTGGGCACAGTGGCACACACCAGTAACCCCATCATTCTGGGAAGCTGAGGCAGGAGGATCCCAAGTTTGTGCCCAGCCTGGGTAACTTAGCAACTTAGTGAGATCCTGTCTCAAAACAAAAAATTAAAAATAAAGATTTGGAGATGTAACTCGGTGTTCAATCCCCAGTAACAAAATAAGAAAAGAGAGTTAGGAATATACCTCAGCAGCACAGCACCTCCCTAGCAAGGGCAAGGTCCTGAGTTCAATTCCCAGGACAAAACAAAATAAAACAAAGCAAGGGCTGGGGATATAGCTCAGTAGCATAAGAGCCTGCCTGGCAAATGTGAAGTCCTGAGTTCAATTTCCAGAATCAAAAAAATTAAAAAAAAGATTAAAAAAAAGAAAGAACTATACAATACTAAGCAAAAAGTTAAATTAAAAAGTCAATATTGTAATCAAAATTGTGAAGCTAAACTTAAATTTAGTTTTACAGTAATAATTTGTGCAACAACTTAAGGCAATTTTTTCATTATTTCAAAAACTGGCTAAACTAAGCATGGTGGTGAACTCTTGCAATCCTACTTACTCAGGAGGCTTAAAAAGGAGAATCTGAAGTTCCAGGTCGGCCTTGGTAACTTAGTTACAATCTGTCTCAACACAATATAGCAGTGAAGCTCTCCAAATCATTGATATGGAAGAATTCAAATCTAGGGTGAGATCAGAAATGTTTCACATTTCCAATTTTTTAGTATCTGTATATATAAAATATCTCAAAAAAAGGAAAAAAAAAAACTTGAGTTGGCTCCCCTTGCATTCCTCACCCAAAAAAACACCATGGAAACTGAAAATACCAAAATCTTTTTAACAAACGTTATTTAACTAAAGCCATATATCATCATTATCAAATAAAGTGTGGACACAAAAGATATAAAACTTCTAACTGTTCCACACCTTTTGACAACAAAGACAGTGTTAAACCATTTCATATTCCAGCACTGTGATACAGAACATCCAATTAACCACAAAGATTTACTGTCTCAATAGCACTGGTTGTGCACTTCTAGATTTCATCCAAGAGCAAATGACAGGAAAACTTTAAATATGAATACTGTTATATACAGTTAGTATCATGAGCTTCATATCTATCCAAGTCTGAAGTGTTCTTATGTCAAGTTCTGTGAAATATCTTCAGTGATTCAAGACTGTCTCACCATGTGAGATAAAGTCCAGCCCATAAGGGTTATATAAAAATGGAGAAGGATATCTTTTGTTTCCAATTTTTTTCAAGGGATAGATGAAAGGGGACAGAATCCATCCAATCAAGGCTGCACTGAAGATGCCATAAATATTCTATTTTTAACTAAGTCATTTTGAAAGTTAAAAATATTTTAAATACATCTAAAAGACTCTAACTCACATTAATTGATCAACAAATGTTATTAGAAAAAAAGAAATTCAATCAATTAAAAATTGTCAGGCAGAAAGATAACAAGTCTGACCTCAGTTCAGGCAATTTAGCAACTCAAGGAGACCACATGTCCAAAAAAAATAAAATTTTAAAAAATGGCTGCAGATGTAACTCTGTGTAAAGGCCTGGGATTCAACCCCCCCCCCCCCGTATCAAAAAAAGAAACAAAAATAAATGCCAGGTCATCTTCATTTTACTGTCTAGCACTTCACAGGACCAGTATCTGAGGTTTTTAAGACTTTTAAAGTATGCACTACATCAAACAATACAAGAGCATTTTGGCATTTTTAAAAGCATTGTGCTCAACTAGCAGTCATGTGTTAAAAATCACAAAGAAGTCTAGATTTGTACATTTTCTGCTCTTCATCTCCAAACGCCTATGAATCAAACTATCCTGAGGTGGGGGATCTGGAATTCAAGGCCAACCTAGGCTGTCTAGTGAGACACCTGTCTCCACAAAAAAAACACATGAAGGGGGCTGGGGATTTAGCTCGGCGGCATAAGCATATGCCTTGCAAGCAGGCAGTCGTGAGTTCGATTCCTGGTACCGATAAAAATGAAAAAGACAAAAAAAAAAAAAAAAAACCCAACACATGGAATTAGCAAGCTTCCCCTATCAATACCACAACTAAGAACAAAAAAAAAAAACCTGCAGGAAGGTAAACTTTGTGAAAATGTGGTATTAAGTCTGTCTCACTATTACGAAAAATGTGATCCTTGACCCATCATATTTGAATGATCTAATGCCTAGAAAGTGCTTCAAACTCATTAGAAAAGTAACATTCATTCAACATTACAGAATATAAGAAATGACTAGACTGTATACTGTAGACATATCAAAAAAAGTTTATTAATTCTGATCCAAATGTACCCTATAAGTTTTGAAATATGTTAGCACAGAAATCTCTTTTTTCTAAAAGAATATGTGACAAGATTCAGACATTTTGTATTTCTTTATATACTCCAAGGAGGAAAGGACCAAAGACTGAAAAAACTGATACTGTTTTCACTGTCTCAAATTCCAAATTTATACCACACACATTACGTGCATTGTAAAGCAATATAACATAGTTTTTGAACTTAGGCTCTGTCATCAAACCTTTTTGAAAGTACTGCTGGGGCTGGGGATTTAGCTCAGCGGCATAAGCACCTGCCTTGCTAGCAGGCGGTCGTGAGTTCAATCCCTGGTACCAATAAAAATGAAAAAGACAAAAAAAAATAAAAAAAAAAAAAAGAAAGTACTGCTGAATCCAAGGTCTTCTCTAAGCTACATTTCCAGCCACGACACCCCCAAATCTTTTCTTTAAAAAAAAGACAGAATCTTGGCTAAATTGTTAAATTTGTTAGTTATTAATTGGTGGGCTTCAATTGGCAATACTTCTAACTCAGTCTCTCACAGCATTGAGATTACATGCATGCCCAGCTTGTAAATAAAACTGAGAATTAAATCTTTTCTTTACCTAGCTGAGCACAATCCAATAATCCCAACACTGAGGAGGCTAGGAATATATAGTGAATTCAAATCCAGCCTGAACTACACAGCAAGACCATTTCTCAACTTGCTGTGCCCATTTCCTCCTCTGCAAATCAGGAATACACAGTATCTACAACAGTAGCCATTTGTGGCAGTTAAGTTACCTGAAACATTAAAAATTAGTTTAGACATGTACTGATAATTTTAGAATGTAAATGGTGCATACTGGAGGTTGAGTAGGCTATTATTGATAAATTTAAGTTTTTATGACAACCATTTTTTTAAAAATTTAAGAATTAAACTAGTAGCCGGGTGTGGTTGTAGAGCCTATAATCCCAGCACTTGGGAGGCTGAGGCAGCAGGACTGCCTCGAGTTCAAAGCCAGGCTAACCTACACAGCCAGACCCTGTGGCAGAAAAAAAAAGGAAAAAAGAAAAAGAATTGAGCTAGTATACAATCAGAACTCAATTCATGTGTTTTTTTATTACTCTATTAAAATGAAGGAAGCACCAGACAAAGTGGTAATACCTGTACTCTGGGAGGCCTGAGGAAGGAGAGTCCAAAGTTAGAGCTCAAACCAGGCAACTCTGTAAGACCCCATCTCAAAATAAAAATAAAAAACAAAAGGCTGGGGATATAGCTCATACAAAGGCTCTGGGTTCAACAAGGGGTTGGAGTTAAGAGAAAAAAATATATGAAACCACTAATGTGATTTCTTACATTAGTGTATATTTAGTATGGCATCCTTCACAACCTCTATCCAGCAAATCCTTAGTTTCAATTCTCTATTTTTGACCATTTAGATACAACATTTAAACATGCTGGGGGCATACCTTAGCAGCATGGCACCTGTCTGGGCAAGCACAAGGTCCTGAGTTCTAGTCCCAGTACCAAAAAACAAAACATAGGCTCTTACACTAAAGACTCTACCTCTGACAGTATAGGAAGTTACAATATCAACTGTCAAAGGGCTGAAGACACAGTGTCAAGAATGCTGCCTTCACTGGTAATTCTGTAACTAGTTTCATTTGACTGAAAGAAAAATTTGTGAAGGCCTCTTAAGTGGAGACTAATCAACACTGGAGAGGGAGACAACAGTGGTATATTGGTCTGATGAATATTCTGGCTATGAGACAGGACACTAGCTACTGCAAGAGTGGACACTATACTCTCCTAAGCAAAGACATGAAACACATCGAACAACTCATCAATAAGAGGCAAAATCTGTCTTAAATTCCAAGTCAAAGTTCGTGATTCTAATCTCCAACCCCTAAAATCAAGTAACCATTGTAAAAGAATGGCAAAAATATAAAAATAAAAATGGTTGCATTCATAGCATTTAAAACGAAACAACGTTAATTCCTACTTCGGAACTCTAGAGGGCACCAGAAATATGCCCTCCTTTGCACCCCCCAGCCACCCCCCCTCCGGTAACGTGAGCAGCTGCAGAAGCCTGTCTTCTGATTGCTGAGGCTGGTATTGCAGCAGCGGGAGCGAAGTCTGCAGCGGTGGAAACAGCAGCGTCCGCTCCTAGCTGCCTCACCGACCATTACCCGGAATTTGCCCCAGGGGCAGCTGCCACCCAAGGAAAAGCTCCTCCCCCTCAAAACAACGGGGAGGGCCAAATCCCCACGCTGAACCTCTACAACTAACAACGTTCACTTTAACGAGCAACGAATTACGGGCATGGGACTCACAATAAGGGCGTTTTCCTCTTTGCTTTCTGCCAAGGATGCACCACCGTAGGCTAAAGGCGATTTCTCGTCCTGGGAAAAGAGAAAAAAATGAAAAATGGATCAAGACCAACTAACCTGGCGAGAGCACCAAGCCTTTTCCGCCAGAAGGAGGCAGAGGAGAGAATAAGAGGTCAAGGAGGTTCAGCCTTCTATTATTACCCCCATCCCGCGCACGCCAGCCCGCTCCTACGTAAGTGGAGCAAAACAGCATAGGATATTTGGGGCCAAAACCAATGGGAAAGGTAAAATCCTGAGGGAAGCGGCCTTGAGCATTGAACTCGCTCTCAGGAAGGAGGGGGGAGGGTAAACGTTGCCCCGACGCCACCGAGGGATTTGCATTCCCTCTTCGATTCGCCCACCCCGCGTCATCCTCGTCACTCTCGGCACTACTCTGAAGGTAAAGAGGCAACTCGCGTCAGCGTTGGGCCAGTATCGCCCATACTAGCCCGGAGCAGGAGCCCTGGGCCCGATGTGTGCCCCCCCCTGCAGTCGGCGACCGGCAGCGCTGCCTCCCGTCCGCCATTAGAGACCCAGCCAAACAATACGCGGGGAGCGAGAGCAGCGCAGCGCGGCGCCGGCAGGGAGCGGGTGGGGGCCTGCGCTCAGTGGAGAGCGGGCAGCAGCCCCCGCCCCGGGAAACTTGGGGACCCCGGCTCAGGCCGAAGAAGTCGACGCGCTTCCCCGGGAGCGGGCAGTCGGCCGACACACCACCTCAGTAACCCGCCGGAGAGAAAGAAAAACACCCGCGACCTCCCGCCGCCGCACCCGCTCTGCAGCCCCGCCGCCCCGCGACCCCAGCCCCGGCGTCCGCCTCACCCGGCGCTCCCGACCGCGCCCACGCTCCCGCAGCCCTCGGGCCGCACGCCAGGGCGCCCGGGCCATAAGCGCGGCCACCAGCAGCACCGAGGCCCGACGCCCAGCGGCCACGGCGTCCGCGCCGCGGGGTGCTAAGCCCGGGTCGGGGGGAGGCTCTGGAGGCCGCCCTCACCCATCTCCGCCTCCGCCTCCTCCTCCGGAGGTTGCGCCGCTCCCAGCCACCCCCACTCTCGGCAGCCCTGGACTGGAAAGACAGCGGGGATAAGCCTCACCCGGTTCTGGCTGCGGCTCCGCGGAACGAACCTCCCCTCCCCCGACCCACCCCCCTTCGGCGACACGCACAACTCCGCTCGGTCCAGTCCCGGCTTTAGCGCTGGTGAGGAGGAGGCGGAGGCGGAGGCGGCGGCGGCGGCGCAGCCGAGCCCGCACAGGCCCCACCCTCCGCGTGCTCACTGGCTGCTGGCGGAGGAGGGCCGGGGAGTCTAGAGTACAGCCATTGGCTACCTTGGCCTTCCTTCAGGACCCCCCTCGGTGGGGTGGTCCGAGCACCTGTCCGTCACGTACAGGCCACGCCCCCAACCCGCCTATCCCACTTTCCCCTCCGCCGGCCTTCGGCTTGGACCGGGTCCTCTCCCCCTCCCCTCCGAGCGCCTGCCCCGCCCCTCCCCATTCCCCCGCCCCCGCCAGGGTCCTTAGCCCGAGTGGAGTCGCCCGCCACACTGGCCGCGGCTCGGCCCCAGGGCGTGGGGCTTTCAGGGTTGGGGCGGCGCGAACCGGTGAGGTGGGGCTGCTTTGCCGTCGCTGGGCTCCCATGGACGCGACCCGAGGACAGTTGCAGGCTCTGTGCCGCGCGTCCTCCCTGTCCAGTCCCTGCGAGCCTGTGCGAGGGCGAAGCCGGGCAGGGGGAACTGGGCGCCGGGGTGGCCAAGGGCCGTGAGGCGCGTCCGCGCTCGCCTCGCCTCGCCTCGCCCCTGGGGACAGGCCACACTCCCGTCATGCTGCGGCGAGAGGCGACGACAGCCTCCATCTTGGAGGAGATGCGGGCGCGCTGGCCCCCACTGCCGGCCCGGGGCCGTGAGCCCTGTCCTGGGCGGCGCAGGCCGAGCCCCGCCATTCGCCTGAGGGCCGCGCTGCGGGTCGGCGTCCCAGACTCGGGCGCCGCCCAGCCTCTTGCCAAGATGGAGGAGTGCTGGGCTGCCCGGAACGGGGCCCGCGCCACCCGAGTGACCGCGCTGCCCGGCGTCCACGGGCACCGCGTCTCTGGCCTGTCCCGGGCCGCCGTCTCCGTCTTCACCGCCGCCCCAGCGCCTCGAAGCCCAGTCCGGCACGAGGGAGGCACCCGGACCACTGCACAAGGGCTTTTCTTTTGTCCCTAGTCTACACCTACGTTTTGGGCGGACGTGGTGGTATTTCCAAGACTCTACTCCTCAGCGCGGCCCTTGCTCGCGTCTCGCCCTGGTGGTGGTTAGGGGGATTACAACAAATGGCGTTGGTTAAACGTCCCCACCCACTTGGGTGGCCAACTATACACTACTGCCCTGAATGGTAGACCTAGAATGCTGCCGTCTAAGCCCAACAGCGTGGGAACGAACGTGAAGATTTTAAAGGAACTATCCATGAAGAACTAGTGTAAACGCAGACACTGATTACACAGGGTAGTCTAGTAGAATTCACTGATAAAAATTTAGGCCTTTCACCTGAGGCTGAATGCTATAAATACACTGTTCTTTTATTTAGCTATACCTACATAATGTATTTAAACCAGCTTTTCGAAAAATATCTCACTTATTTTTCAGGAAACTAATAATTGGAATAATTTTCAGATTTCCATGCTCTAAATAACCTGACATTTTATATTTCACAGTGCTATTTTGCATTGACATGTTTGACATCACAAGTCTTTTTTTTTTTTTTTGCTCACTGTGGGCCACGTAGTAATCCAGTGAAAGCTTATGCCTTCTATTTTCTACTACCACATTACTACCATGTTCTAACTCAACTCATTTATACTTAGAACAATTGGCCTCTCCCAGACGAGCTATGAAATACACTTTAAAGATAGACTATTTGACACACAATAATCTTCAATTGAAGGATGTCTTTATACTGCTACCAATTCCAGGGCATTATTTCTGTTTCATAATTAACACAATTATACTATTTTTCTTTTACTTTTTGACTTACCCACATCCTTTTGTCCAAACTGTTTTAAAAGTTTAAAAGCATGGGGCTGGGGATTTAGCTCAGCGGCATAAGCACCTGTCTTATAATCAGGCAGTCGTGAGTTCGATCCCTGGTACCGGAAAAAAGCAAAAAAAAAAAAGTTTAAAAGCATGTTAATGAGAATTTTAGTTCGGCATTAGAAGGGGAAAGTGTTTTAGGTCATCATTTAGGTAAAACTTATACTCAATTTCCCAGGAAATTAATCTTAAATATCTGAATAACAGATAACAGCATGATTCTTGCTTTCCAAACTACAGAAACAGCACAAACATCCATCAATAGATGGATAAATGAAGTAGTATATCCATATTGTGGAATATTATTTAGCCCTGAAAAGGAATAACAGTCTGATAAATGCTACAACAGGAACAAATCTTGACATTATGCTAAATGAAATAGACCAGATCTTTAAAAAGCTCCGTGTTTCTATTTATGTGAAACTACACTTTAAAAATGGGTGAATTCTGAGAAAGAACTCAAGGAAACAATACAATAGCATCCAAAAAAATGAAATACCTAGAGATCTAACAAAGAATGTAGAAGACCTCTACATTGAAAACTACAGTACTCAAAAAGGAGATTGAGGAGGACATTAGAAAATGGAGACACATCCCATGCTCTTGGAGAGGAAAAACAAATATAGTTAAAATGACAACACTTCCAAAACTGCTACACAGATTCAGTGCAATCGCAATCAAAATTCCAATAGCATATCTCACAGAATTAGAGAAAACAATCCTAAAATTCATCTGCAACCACAAAAGACATAGAATAGCAAAGGCAATTCCCGGTAAAAAAGACAAGACGACATCACAGTCTGTGACTTGAAATTATATTATCAAGTTACTGTGATAAAATAGTGTGGTGAGAAAAAAATAGTGTGTTGCTGGCAATAAAACATACCCAAAAATCAGTGCAACAGATTAGAAGATGCAGAAGCAACCGCAGACAAACTTAAGTCACCTTATCTTTGACAAAGGTGCCAACACATTCACTGGAAGAAAGACTCTTTAATAAATGGTGCTGGAAAATTAGCTCTACACATGCCAAAGATTAAAACTGGACCATATCTTTCACCATGTGCTAAGATAAAATCAGGATGGATCAAAGATCTTAACATTAAAACAAACATTAAATCTGCTGGAAGATACAGTAGGTAAAATTGAAGATGTTAGTGTAGGCAAAGACTTTATGAACAAAACCAAAGTTGCACAGGACTATCACAAAGAATCAACAACTAGGATCTTACCCTACTGAAAAGCTTTTGCACGGCAAGAGGAATCATCAACAGAGTGACAAAACAATCTACAACGTGGGGAAAAAAAGTTTGTCAGCTGTACCTCAGACAGAGGATTACTGTCCAGAACATATAACGAACTCAAAAAAAGCAGTCCTCCCAGGTTTAAAGACCCAATCCAAAAATGGGCATCTGAGATGAATATACATTTTTCAGATGAACAAAAATAAACAGTAAATATGTGAAAAAAATGTTCAACATCATGGGTTATTCAAGAGATGCAAATTAAAACAACACTGATATTCCACCTCACCCCAGACAAGAATGGCTGCTATCAAGAAATTAAACAATAACAAATGCTGGAGGGGCTGTGAAGAAAAAGGAATGATTTTCCATTGTTGGTGAGAATGCATACTGGTGCAACCACTCTAGAAATTAGTTTGTGGATCCCTCAAAAAACTAGGATTGGAGGTCCCATTCAACCCAGCAATTCCCCTTCTGGGTATCTTCCTAAAAGAATTGAAAACGTCATACCACAGTGATAGATGGGAACCCATGTTGACAGCAGCACAGTTTATAATAGCCAGATCTTGGAAACAACCTAAATGCCCAACGACTGAGGAATGGATAAGATAGATGTGGTATTTTTATACAATGGAGTACTACTCAGCCATTTAGAAAGATAAACTGAAAACTTTTATAGGCAAATGGAGGCAACTTCTAATCATACTCATTAGTGAAATAAGTCACACATAGGTAAACATACTGTCTCACTAGTGTGAGAAGCTAAAAGAAACAACATATGTATACAAATATGTATATAAAAAGATAGTTATACTACTGACTTCTCTGAGTTCACTGAATGAGAAAGATTTGTGCTGATATTGTTTGGACAATAGAATGTAAATGATTTGTTGTTGGGAGCCGCAGCCCCAAGCCCGGTCGCCTCACTTGGCGGACGTGAGGCCTGTAGTAAAGAGTAAAGCCTGAGGTAGATTACCCCTCCCATCGAGCACGTTAGTTTCCTGCTTACCGCGTAAGCAACCCGCTCAACAATATAGTCTGCCTGGCAACTGATGATGTTAGCCAATCAGCTTGCCTTGCTCACTTTAACATGATTGGACACTGTATCCGTATATATACTGGTGCCACCCCTGGGGGGGAAGAAGAAGCCCGGAAGTAGAAGCCCAAAAGGAGCCGCGGGGAGCGGACCAAAGGAGGCTTCGGCTGGGAGCGATCCCAGGGCAGGCTGTACAGAGAAGAAAAATAAAAGAAAAGGTTGTCCACTGCCAGACTTTGTCGTGTGTCCTTCCTGCCGGCCGGGAGCGACATCGACATTTGGAGGCCCGCACGGGGACTGATCACCCCCGAGACGTGACAGCGGACAACGCTCCAGTACAGAGCTGCGAGACAGGTGAGTTGGGGATAAGCCTGGGCTCTGGGTGGCGCGCACCTACAGGGCTTTTAGACTCCCCTCAGGCTCACGCGTAAGTGGCGGATTCCTTGGGCCTCACGCGGTGAGTAACATATTAAAAAATGGGAAACATGCTAGGTAGTAACATTAAGAGCGAGGGTGGTTGTGGAGAAAGCTCTCAAGAGCTTACAAAAGTACGCAGGGTATTTGAGCAGGCCCAGTCAGGGAGCTCCCGAGAGGGGCCCGTCAAGGGGAACAAAGATGCTAAGGAGAAGAACGGGGCTCTAGCCTCGGAGTCATCTGACTCTGAGGACGAGGGAAAGTTGAATGGCAAGGAGGCCAAAGAGACCAGCTGTCAGGAGCCTAAGTCGCTCGATAAGGAGTCGCAGGGTTCTTTCCCAGCGTTGCGCCGTGAATTGCGCTCCGCTCAACTTGGTCTGCGGAGGAGTAGGGAGCTCCTGAGCGCTCCCCGGCGCGAGAGGGAGGCGAAGCCTTCCGCCCCACCTTGGGGGCTG